ATAAAAGCTTACATATATTTACATTATATACACAAGTCAAACAAGGTGCTCTCCAGGAGGAAAGGGGAGACGAGTGTTAACTGTTTGATTCTTCTTCTTCTAACCTCTTCATGTCCAGGGGGGGTAGTTTCGCAACTTCGAAAAATACTCTGGAAATGAAAAAAAAAATTAGACAAAATTTAGCCATTAAAGCCCAACTATCCCAGCTCCAGTGCTGTCCCAGACTTTCTGCACAATCCAGCGCCGGTGATCCTCTTCACGGCAGAACAGCACTGTCATTCTGTCTTGTCAATTTGACAGGCACTCCCCCCCTCCCCTCCATCCCCAGGGGGCATGTCCTAAGGCTGGGCTCACATACCCCAGGTATGAGTGGTGCTTTGTCATCACATGAGCATCGCTCAGTCCTGGAAGAATGCCTCGATAATATTCAGATGCCCCCATCCCCCTGCCACCCACACAAAATAAAAAAAGGGAGAGTGGTATGAATAGTAGTCGCCCCCCCTTAAAAAGGAAGTCTTCATACGCAGAAGTAGTTGGTCATTCTATTCACTCCATGTAGGTGAACAGAGCTGTGGTGAAGCAAAGGGGAAGGAAGTCTATCCAGCAAGGGGGTGGAGCAGGAACCTCTTCCCAGGCTATAGAAATTCAAGTCTTATAGCTACAAATGAGCTTTTTTTTTTTAAAAAAAGCCCCCCAATGACCTCCGTAGCAGCAGACACTGTGGAGCACTTCATCCTCAAACTTCACAGCAGATGCACTGAAGGTGCTAGAAGGTTCCTCAGCAGCTTTAACAATGACTTGACAGCCTCCCAATGTAAAAGGCTAGAGCACAAGGATGCCACGTCACTAGTGGTGGAGGGAGCAGGGTAAGCTAAAGCTGTGACCCCCCCTCCCCCCAATCAACTCTAGTGGTGTGCTCCAACGTATGTGGACCCAATTTCACGCAAGGTCCACTTTATGGGGCAGCATAAAAATCATCCCTACCTGTGTGTGTATTTACTCCAAACAGCCTTTAACTTCTCATGCGGTTGCCTCTTGAGCAGGGCGTTCAGCTTCTTCACAAGGGGCAACAAATCTGTAGCCTGGAATGCGCTGTAATACTGAAGCGTGGCAGTCTGTAATACATGAGAGAAGTCACGCGTCACATAGATAATGAAAAAAAGCTCCGAGACAACCCAACGTGTCCTGCAACACCCTTTACTTCTCAATGCAAATAGAAACCATCTGCTGCAGTAACTCTTTCTTGCCACTAGATGTCCTCAGTCTTCTGGGGATTGACAACCAGAGTCATTCAACCCACTAGGTTTGAGACTAGGCTGTCATGGGCAGGCCCCTTGGGAGTGGCCCTTACATGTCAAAGGGTGGTGGGGTCATTATAAATACGAAACATCTAATTCAAAGCCCAACTTTGGAAGAAGACTGGAAATAAGAGTGCCCTCACCCCAAGAATATGCAATACCCATAGACTAAAAATTGGCATTTAACCCTTGCAGTGCATGAGAGGAGTCCTCACTCTGGTTTAAAGCGTCACATGGACTAGTCTACAAGTAGAAACCCATTCTAAGTATTGGCAACACCCATTATAAATTCAAGGCTGGCATCATGGTATGGAAATCACTCACCCATCCGCCCAGGTCCTTCATCTTCATTGCGAGATACAAGCAGCCGGCTGCCATCTTGGAAGCACGCTCCTGCACAAAGTCATACTCTTGCAAGGTCAGCTCGCATATGTAGCGGGCAAGGGTGAGAGTCTCCATGTTGGCATGGGCACACTAAGAGAAGAAGTGTAGGTTACTTTACTATAAAAAGTTGCTTTTATTAAACATTTTAATTAAAAAAAAGTTAATTCATGGAAGGTTTTAAAGCCCAACCACATGAAGTAGGTCCCAAAAGCAGCACTCAGTGTCCACCACCGGTCCAAGCCAGAGGCTTGAATGTGGAGTTCAGCGGTACCTCCTGCTGACCTTCATGTCATGGAGTTCGGTGGAAGGAACCGTTGAATGCCGTGATGGACCAGAGACGGACGCTCCAGGACATGTTGGTTTCTGTAGAAGAGTTCAGAGGTTGCCCACAACTGGTGTTCTGTTGAACCCCTTTGATCTTTGGACCGGCCTGGTTTCTGTAGAAGACTTCAGCCTTGGATTTCTCCCAAGGGGAGCGGACAGCAGGAAAGGACCAAGACAGGAGCTTTCACGGGAACTGTGATGTGGCAACAGAGTTGCTTTGGCCTATACGAGAGTCCAGGTGAAGGCAACTCTGTTGCCTACACTACAGTTCCCGTGAAAGCTCCTGTCTTGGTCCTGTATGCTGCCCTGGTGAGAAATCCAAGGCTGAAGTCTACTACAGAAACCAGGCCGATCCAAAGATCGAAGGGGTTCTACAGAACACCAGTGGTGGGCAACCCTTGAACTCCAGCTGTTGTGGAACCACTAGTCCATGAGGCACTACCAGACTGACAGTAGTTCCCAGAGGCACGGTTGGAATTAGTTTCACCACAGTTGGAGTGCCACAGTTGCCTACCAGATTTAAACACCAACTCCAGGTAGATGCAAAGACCACAAGGTTCCTGGACTTCCACACCGTTCTATAAACTTTCCAAGACTGTAGGACTCCTCTATATTAGTTATGAGAGAAGTGTTCCTCTGGGCACAGCTTGGCCCTGCAGCTGTGGTGAAACAAATACCATCATGCATCTGCCCCTGGAAGTCATATCTGAGGTCTTGCAACGCCTCATGGAATCTGTAGCTTTACTGCAGCTGGAGGGCCGAAGTTTCGATAACCCTGGTCTAACATCAGTGGAATCTGGACCATGCAGAATTCATTGACCGATGCACCTCACCTCCTTCAAGCAGGTGTTACACGCCCATTGACTTGAACAAAAGCCCATTGACCCAAACCCTTAAACTGTTCATAACAGAGCCAGGCAATTTAGGTTTTTCTAAAACCTAAATATGTAAATATATCTTAAAAAACAGCAGTTGGAGAAACCACTGAGGACCCAGCCCTTCAAAAAACACATTCATACTGGTCAATGAAGTCAATCTGCCCATCGGTGGTCCAGCAGCAAGAGATCAGTACATGCATAAGCCCATAACACTGAGCTCTGGAAGAACGTCTCTCTACCACCAGGTGCCAGCTCCATACAGGCCGGTCCCCACCAGCCAGCCAACAAACGCCAAAAAGATACACACAACAGCCACAACTCAAGAGAGCCATAGCCATGCCGGGATTTGTAGTTTCACCACGGCTGGAGGGCCGAAGTTTCAATACCCATTGTAGAGTCTAGACTTGGTAGTAGAGCTTCTATGGCCAAGCACAATAAGATGGCAAAATGTGTCAGATGGGGGGGTACTCCTGCTCTATGACCAAGCCATTGGGTGAAACCTGTCCAAGGGAGAAGCTTAGGTGGGTGATGGCAAGTCAAATTGAGTGGAGGGGGTTCTGCCTAGCTTTAGGGGCAGGAGATCAGAGGAGGACCCAGGGACCGCCCTCAGCCTGTGACTGGACAGTGAAAGAAGAAGTAGCTCATCACTCTGCTCTCGCCTCCTCAGCACATGAACCGATGACCTCCTTCTGCCCAAAGTTCAGCTTCAGCCAAAAAGTATCACAGACCGAACTCCACCAATACCCCGGACAGCAACCTCAGCTTCTGCATTCGGCTTTTCGGGCTCACCTTTGCAAAGCGGCGCAGGAAGCGATACGGAACGGGGATATTTATGTCAAAGTTCAGCTTTTGCAGAATATCCATCTCCATACCAATCAGCTCCTCCCTCTTATAGGCGTCGTCGCAGATGTAGAGGAAGTCATCCAAGCAAGGCGGGCAACGTTCCTGCGAACAACAAAAACAAAAATCTAATCAGGACCATTGTAACCATGGCTTGTTCTGTCTCTGTATGGAGGCGGCCATCTTGGTAGAGGCAGGGTTTTGCTTCCTCATGTCAGAGATGTCCTCCCGTCCGATGGCTGGTGGGGTAATGGTGGAGGAAGCAGAAGCAGGGAGATCCTGGCACTGCAGGTCCTCTCCATCAAGGAGAACAGTGACATCCGGTGGGACCAGCAGAGGCAGCAGTGCCTTGGATCTCCTGCTAAGCCTGTGACTGCACTGACCTGCACTTCCACCATCCAGTCCACCAGGATCCCTCTCATTTCCTTGCTGATATCACTCTGATTGTCTATATAATCCGGAAGCAGAAACTTTTCCTGTGGAAGAAGTGAAATGCGTCAGCCCGGACAAGACAGTTCAACACAGAGCCAAAAATGTTTTTTTTAGTTTTTGGATTTGGGGG